GAAAAGGCACTAGAAATCGCAAAAAAGGCAAAATAAGGCAATAAAAAAAGACAAAAACCGACAAATAATACAAAACATCGCCATGTTAAAGTCAACAGTTCGTTCCAAGGAAGAAAGTCAGATCTTCGATATTTACACTAGTTTCTTTCCGTACTGGCTAATGAATCATAAATCATACTACACATGTAGTATATAACTACATACATATTTACTATGTACTATTTAGCTTCTCTTCTACATACATTTCAGCTTAACACACACATATTCGTGTCGAAAATACTGCCAAATATTGAAATGCAATAATGAGCCAGCATTTATTTTTTTTTTGTTTTTTTTTTTTGTTATCAGCTCGGCTCGGCCAAGCGCATATGCTGATTATTTTCGAACGTGATTTGCGGTGGCAGCACTTATCTGCCTAATTCGAGGGTTATATTTATATGAGATACGCATACAAATAAAAAATTTTGGATTGCTGCTACAAAAAAAAAAATGCTCACATGCCTACATAAGGCGTTCGGCCTTTTTCTTGCTCTCTCTACTTTTTTCCCTTTAAATTCTTGTTGTTTAACTATGTAAATACTTGTACATGCACCGCTGTTACAATACTTCATACAGCATATCGTATCTCGTCCTTGCATGCTTACGTCAATACGTTTTACTATACATAAATATGTATGTGCGCCGTTTACGTCATAAATGAAATAAAAAATTCAAACAGTATGTCAGTGAAAAGTAAATACAAGTTTTAAGCTAAAAATAAACTCACAAAAAATGACGTAAAAAAATGATCAAATAAGCAGTAATAATTATGAAATTGTATGTCAAAAAATAAAATAAAATTACTTCCCTAAAAATCTGTTAGTTTGAAGTTAAAAGTAAGAATGTTCGAAACACGTGTTTCTGCATGCACGTAGTGCGGCTTAATTTTGATGCGAAATATTCGAAATTGTTTATTTATTACTAAATATTTAATTTTGTAAGTGCACGCCTTAGCGGGGTGCGTTTCCCATATTTAGGAGCTGATATGAGTTGTTATTTATAATTTAATTATCTAAAAAAATCTTTTGGGAATTTTACTAGATAAAAATATTATTTTGAATGACTCGGTATGGGTTGCATAGTTGTTTTTGAATTTCCGTGATAACTTAGTCTGTGTAGATAGATAATGTTGTATCCTTGTTATAATTTTTCCATGTTTAAACATTTTTTTTTAGTAAATAGCTTCATTTTTTATTTTATACCATATATTTTTTTGTTTTATCTCTTTCTGGTTTTACCAATTTTTAATGGATTTTTGAATTTTTCCCCCTTTTGAAATTTTTATTTTAAAATTTTTTTAAATTTTAACAATTTCAAATTTAAACATAGACTGGCGACCAAAATGGAGCATGGCGTTTTTTGTTAAATATTTGCAAAGTTTTTCAAGTTACAATTTATACTTTGTTATTGTTACTTTTTTATAAAAATGTGGTTCAAGCTTTAACTTTCAAACTTTATAAAGAGTTTCTTCATACGCTGTTTTCAATTTTTTACCAAAATTTGTAATTCTTAATTTTCTCTTAAATTTCAATCAATCTACATTTCTTAAATTTTTAAGAAATTTTTAATTTTTCACAATTTAAATTTTTTCAAACAAATTTTGAATACCATTCAATTTTAGCAAATGTTTAATTCTTTGACAAATTTTTAACTTTTGACAAATTTTTGAATCGTTGGCAATTTTTTTAACATTTTACAATTTTTTTATCTTTTAAAAATTTTTTAATCTTAGACAAATTTTTTAATCTTAGAGAAATTTTTTAATTTAAAAATTTTTTAACCTTAGAAAAATTTTTTAACCTTAGAAAATTTGTTTAATCATTGACAAATTTTTATTTTTCCAATTGGAATAGCAGATAAAAAATGAGTTATTCTCTTTTGAGGTCAATATAGCTTTCTAGGATCAATCAAAACGTCCGAAACTATACGAATACATGCATTGATTATCCGTCATTTAAGCGTTATACATATAAACGTACTTTTAAGCGTTATACAGGCTCAGATTCCTTAAATTCCAAATATTTTTTTTCCAATTATTTACTAGATTTGACCAAAACAGAGAAAACAATTTATGAAACTTCAAAAATACCTGTATCCGTAAAAAAAATTTGAAGTGAAACTACTTGAATTTTTTTTTTATCATGCATTGAACTCATTATTTTTCCAATTGACAAAAACTCCTGAAAAACAACCAATTTTCACTGGCAACTTTATTAAGTTATTCAAGTGTAAATATGTATTTCAAATAAACGATCGTTTTATTGATATTATAGAATTATTCGTAAAAATAATGCATACGAGTATAAATAGTTCAAATGATTCTTTGCCCATGCGTGTACGCTAATTACTCTTTAACTGCCAATAGGTAAATTTATACGCTACAACATTCCAGTGAAAATTGACTCATCAAATATTTACAAGTCCATTTTGGCGGTGTACAAATGTAATTAAAGTCGATTGTGTGACCGTTGTAGAGTGTGGGGCTGGAAGGAAAGGAGTGCAGGTAGGATTTTATACCTTTTGCGGCACTTTTCGTTTTGTTTTGGAATTTTCTTGAGATTTCCGTCTGTTGGTAACGATTTTTTCTTCATTAAGTGGGACGAATGCGATTTTTTATCTCTTTAATTTTTTTTCTGTTTTTGCTATTTACTACCGGAAGTTGTTCGCAATAACAGATAAAGTATTGCTATACTTTGCATCTGCGTAGGCGGTCCGGTTGCCTTTGTTGTGTCTGCAATATGAGCGCAAATTCTCTCAGTTCAGTTAGCAAAAACACCGATACGGCTCTTTACAATAATCGCTTTGTCTTTCCCAGCATTCATGTTTTTTTCAGCCGCAAATTTAAAAAAATAAAAAGTAGATTATACAAGGAGCGTGCGGAGGATTTCTTTCAATGCCATGCCGCATGTGTCAGGCGTGTGCGGTGCTATCATGCTTAGCTTGTTCATAAAAGCGTTCACAATTCAAAACTGTCTGTGAAAATTTGCTGAAAACTGATGAAAGAGTTTGAAAAATCTTTGGAATTCGCCTATTAAAAAAAAACCTGCAACAGCTGATGCTGTTCGCAATACCTGTAGTTAACAGCCGAACGAGAGTTAACTCGCCGCTGTAAAAACGGCCCAAGTCTTTAATTCCGCACAATACATATAAACGTACTTTTAACATACGAATTTTCGTGGAAGTAGTTCCTACAGAACATTTTTTATCACATACTAATTCCGTCCTTACATTTTTTATACTTCCTTATTTAAAAAAAAAATGTGATTGTACCAAGTCAGCGACACTCAAAAATTTTTGCTCATTAATTTTCTTACTTGAAAGTATGCTGCGTATGTTATTTTAAGTCATTAACTCCATACACGTAAACATTGATTTCCTTTAATCTATTATGATTTTAACCTTTTTTGGCATTCGATATGGAATCAACAATTTGCCGCTGGCAGAAATACATATTAACAGAAAGTCACAAGCAAAACATAAGCGAAGAAAAAGCAAAAAATAAAATAAAATATAAACGAAATGAATTTGGCGCTACTAACTGCATACATACATACATACCTAACAAAAAAATAAACAATCAATTACTTTACGTGTGAATATCCTATAATCGGGTGCTTGAAACTATAAACGATAGTCATCGACTTTCGATACTATTGTTTTATACTTGTTTCAGTGCCATCATTTTATGTCACTTGCACATTTTATATTTTCATTTGTTGAACTCATTTACGGTTTCTCATGTTATAGTATTTGACATCTTAATAGCTTAAATTTGTTATGGTCTATTGTCACATTTTTCTGCACGAGTCAGGCATGCATTTCTACATTTGTGTAGCTCAAAATCCAGCACTGCCTGGCACCGCATCTTGCAGCTTTCCATTCAGCTCACCATTGCGAAGCATCTACAAAAATGGTTAGAAAAATGCGACTTGCAATTTTTGATCCAAAAATGTTTTAACTGGCTGACCGCTTTGCAACTTTATGGCCCCTTTCTTTGTACACTTACTTCTCTGCTCTTTCACCAGCTATTAATTTTATTACATTTACTTATTTGTGGTGCTTTGCTGTTTGCGGGCATTTCACGCGGTGAGGTTGTACAACTTATTTAAGTCTTTAAATTGTATTTATATTTCCGTTACTAGCGGTGCAATAGAAGTTCGTATTTATGTATATATATGCACAAATTCATGAGGTTATCAGTGTATTTGTGTATTACTAACATTTTTACCGCTGACTCTCACTTTAATTAAAAAAGACGAAAAGCTACTGGCCTCACATTTGCTTCCCTTGTATACCTATCGGTTAACATTTAACCGTACCGTAAAGTAGTAAAATTTTAGAGTTAAATTTCCATCATAATTCTATTATTGCAAGGGTTCTGAAGGAAAATATTTCTTTTTTTTTTTAGAAAATTTTTGGGTATGCAGGTAGGTTTATAGCCTATTCAATTTCAGTAAAAAAAGTGCAAGTTCCAAGGTTCTCAAAATTCGCGTTGATTTTTCATAACTTCTTTTGTTGACGGTGTTGTGCATTTTCTTCAATATAGAAAACTTTTAGAACTCACGAGGGCGCTCCGATAAGTACTTAGCCTACAAAAGAAAAACGAAAATTTTGGAAAAGTGGCGATTTATGGATTTCTCAATATAGTCTCCTTTTAGATACACTTGACCTGGCGATGCTCTAACTTCTCTAACCCGTGTGAAAAAAAAGGTTTTCTCGAGGTCTGCAAAGTATCTCCTCATTCGACTCCAGTTTCTGCCCGGCGAGTGACTTTTTCAAGTTAGCCCAATTCGACCAGTTTGGCCGTGGCGACGGCCGGCGTGTTGTCATGGTAGAAGAGCACTTTTTGCTTCGCCAAATGGGGCCGTTTTTTCTGCAATTCGGCGTCGAATAGGCCCAATAATTCGGCATAGTAGAGCACTGTGACCGTATTGCCTTTCTCCAGATAGTCGATGTACATCTCACCTTGTGAATCCCAAGAAAAAAAAAAAACGGTGACCATCACCTTTCCGGTCGATAGGACAGTCTTCACCTTCTTCGGAACACGTTCGCCGGGTGAAGTCCACTGTTTCGACTGTTCCTAGGGTCTCTGGTGTGTAGCAGTGGATCCATGTTTCGTTGACCTTCACGAAACGGCGCAGAAACTCCTTCGAATTGCGCTTAAACATATGACCCACGCGGTCTTTTGAGATACCTACTCTCTCAGCTATCTTGCGCAGCTTCAATCGGCGGTCTGCCAATACGAAATCGAAGATTTTTCCCACGTTGTCCTCCGTGGTAGCCGTTTTCGGGGCACCTAGGCGTGGCTCAGCAAACACCGACGTGGGACCACGTTGAAACTCGTTAAACCAATTATTGACGGTCGCCATCGAAGGAAAAGAGTCACCGTACACAGCATCCAAGCGCTCTTTCATTTCGCTGCGTGATTTCCCTTCCAAAAACAAGAATCGAATCATCGACCGATATTGCTCTTTTTCAATTTTTCTAAAATCTGCAAAACCGCCCGCTTCCACACGCGGTCAACACAAAACTAAGAGTCCGATTCGGCAGAAATTTTGACAGTAGCCGTTTGCGGTGAGGCTAAGTACTTATCGGACTGCACTCGTACTTTGTATGGAAGAAAATGCGAAACACCCTTAACCGAAAATTTCTTTTACATTCTTTTATTTAACTTGCTTTGTATGTATGTATGTCAAATCTAGCAATCATTTTTTAACCAACTTCCCGATGAGCTACAGGTTTGCATTTACAAACCTGGCTCAGAACCCGGTTATAATTCCATATGAAAAATGAGTTAATCCGCTAGGTGGCGCAGGAGTCGAGATTTTTGTAAACCCCGTATTTATAGTCCAATTTGGTTCATATTTAAAAATATTTTTTTTTTTT